ATATATATTTGAGAGGCATATTGTATGCCGACAACCAAACCAAATTTTCTTGATTGACACCGCAATTTGAGAATTGTTCTCAAGCATGAGAAATTAGTTGTGTCCTTAAGTAGCCCTTTCAGAGATACATGATGATGATTCAACAAAGGAAGATGTGGCTGCTATAATGAACACAGTGATGATGATAGTACTGCAACATATGTGATATTTGCAACTATGTCACCTGAGCTACAAAAGCAACATAAGAATATAGATGCTAACAGATGATTTTCCATCTCAATATGTTGAATGATGAACAATCACATGTGGAAAGATATGAGATTTCCTAGTAACTATACCAGTGCATAATGGCAGAAGAATCTTCAGCCAGTGCTGAAGATGTTAACTACTTTGAGAAGTAGTCTCATTTAAGTTCAGTCATGAACAATGAACTAAGTATGACTTGGTTCTGCAATCTCTGTCGGAGAGTTGTTCATAACTAATTATGAATTTAATATGAATAAACTCCAGTGCACACTCATTGAGTTGCTGAACATGCTTAAAACTGTTAAGTCTTACATCTATATTTGTAGTGGACAAATCTTAGTCATATATTCCTCTAGGGAAGTCGAAAGGATTCTTTAGGAAAGCAACCAAGATGGGTAAAACAGTTAAAGTGTAACGACCCGACCTCGCGCCGGAATCGTTATCTTACGTATTGTCCGCTTCGGGAGAGCATAGGCCCATCTTACCTCTCATGGCTTTCTGACGCGTCCCCCAAGATTCAAACCCAAGACCCCCATCATATGAGAGACTTAAGTTGAATCCTGGCACCAATTGGAGAGATGTCGAGTCGTTACAAAAAAATGCACATTTTTTGTAATGACCCGACCTTGCATCGGAATCATTGTCATATCATATACACTGTCCGCTCTGGGAGGTTCTAGGCCCATCTTACCACTCACGGCTTTCTGATGTATCCTACAGGATTCGATCGGTACCAGGATTCAACTTAAGTCTCCTATATGATGGATGTCTTGGGTTCGAATCTTGGGGGACACGTCAGAAAGCCGTGAGGGGTAAGATAGGCCTGGGCCCTCCCAAAGCGAACAGTGCGTATGATATGACAATGATTTCAGCGCAAGGTCGGGTCGTTACATAAACCGAATAAGGACTATACCAAATCTGATGACCCTTATTATCATTTGGAATGGTGGGTCATTGGAAATGAAATTGCAAGACTTATATATACTTCATTAGTTTCATGAGTATTAGATACTAGATATGGATCTCATATTTGTATAAATATGTAGAAACTAAATAAAAGTAGAT